TGCCTGGGATGGGGGTGGAGACCAATGACTTCTATATCCAAGGGCTGCTGACCACACATCAGACAAACCTTTACCTTCTGCCCGCTCCAGAGTTACAACCACTTCCTGCTCCTACAGGCTCAATTCTTTCCTGCCAGGCCCAGCCATGCCATTGTACGATTCCCTACCTGTCTTCTCTAGACTCTAGACCTGATTCTCGCCTTCTCATGACCCCTTACTCCTACCTCTTCTCTTTTCTCAAAAAACAAACCAATAAACCAAAAAAGAAACCCTAGCTTTTAAAGACAGCACCCAGTTCCCTGGCCCCTGCCATCCTTTCAAGGAAGAATGTAGACAGTTAAATAGCAAAACAGGATTAAAGGCCCAGACGCTTGTTACAGGATGTACCTGCCACAGGAGGTCAGAGAGCACAGGGCAGCTAGGCTGAAGCATGCACAGACTTTAACTTTTAATGACAAACAGATGCAGTATTAGTGCTGCAATGTGGGACGCTGCAGCTAAACCATATTGTTTCCCCCTCCACCCCCACCAGGGTGTATTTATAGAATTTATCATCGAAGTCTCCATAGCATAACCAGACCAGACATCTCTCTCCCACTCTGCGTGAACACCTCCTGCCTATAGCACCTCTCCCCTGATGCACTTGCCCAGACAGACAGACACATTCCCTCAGGTGCCTGGCCTCCCCTTATCTAGGCTGTGCATTGTGGAAGGGCCCCCTGGGATGGCATGGCTGGGGAAGTTGTGCCTGGCTGCATGCACTAATCTCTGATAGCATCCCAAAGGCAAACAAACACTATTTGAAATGATCAGTGTTTTGCCTAGAACTGACTGTTCTCTGGTGCCAGCTCATGTTCCATTAGGAATGTATCAAATCATCCAGATACTGAAGTCTTTTAGGTGACATTTTCATGTAAAAGTTACTGTCATAGCTGGGCTTAAACCCCTGTCTGGGACCTGTACTGTGAGTCAGGCCAGCTGGGACACAGCAGTGACAGGCTGCTTTGGAATCTTCCATGACTTCTGCCTGCTGCTTGTTCCCTCAGGATTGAGAAAAATCATGGGCACAAAGCTATGCTTCCCGATTATAGCCTTTTATATTTTTCCTTGGTGACTAGTAGGATTACACCAAAGATTCATTTATCAAATGTACTGAATGCCAGATTAATAGTGTAGGCTCTAGAGTCAACTGCCAAAATTCAAATCCACTCACATCAATTAAAGCTCTGTGCTAGCATCTCTAAACCCAAGTCGCCTCATCTGTGAAAGGAGAATTGTGGCAATACCTAGCCAGCGAGCTACTGAGAGCACTCTTCAAGCTTGGGTTCCGCTGTGGCCCTGGCAGGCCTTGAACTTTTGATCCTCCTGCCTCAGCCTACCACGTAGCTGGAATCATTGGCCTGTGCCACCAAAGCCTGTTTTAGGAAGGGACTGAGATGAAGATTATCAAGCAGGAGTTAAGTCAATAACTCTCTAAAGAGAAACACAAAAACAAACAGCTGTGATACAGTTCCAAAGGTTCCAAAAAAAACAAAACAAAACAGCAGCCAACTCCAGAAGTTTCAGCAGTTGAGACTATCCTGAACTGAATCAAGGGGCTGATCCTCAACAGGTCACTGGATGCAAGCTGTCTCAGAAGGAAGTATAACTCTGGGACCTTGGGCAAGGTGTTTTTGTTGTTGTTTTACAGCTAGGCTGGTACCCAAAGGAAGAGATTCATCTATGTGAGCTGGAGCAAGTTACTAATCTTCTCTAAGCCTGTTTTCTCATCCACATGATAGTTTCAATAAACGCCCGTGTCTCTTGGCACTGTTGGCAGACAAGTGGGATGCTTCCTGACCTCTTCCTGCAGCACTCCCAAGCCGTGGGTAGAATAAACCCCCTTCCTGGAAGGAGATCTGAGAAGCACATCACTGCTTCCACCACAAAGATTAAATGTGATAACCCACATAACATCGTTAACCTATGCCCCAACATGCAGTAATTGCCTAATAAATGGTAACCATTACAATGGCTGTTGCTTTAATAACTATTATTTGTCAGGCACTGTGCTAGAGGATGGAGACACTGGTGATCAAGGTCTTGTTCCTGGTGGGTGCGGTGGCTCTTGCCTTTAATCCCAACACTCAGGAAGCAGAGGCAGGTGGATCTCTGAGTTTGAGCCTAGACTGGTTTACATAGTGAGTTCCAGACCAGCCACGGCTATGGAGTGAGACCTTGTCTCAGTCCATTGGCAAATCAGACACACAAGCAATGAAAGGCACAGAGTATGGATGGAAGCACCTAGAAGGTCACATGACTCAGGGTGGCTGAAGGAGAGTGGTGCCAAAGACATACCTGATGAGTTGGGCAGGCAAAGGCAGGGCATGGTGGTTGGAGTGGAGGGAAGGGCTATCCCGGTGAAGGAAGCAGTGTGATTGCAGTGTGTGCACTGCAGTTCAGCAGGACCAGCTGGCATATGCACCGCGGGAAGAGGAAGGGTCACAGGTACACCAGGCCATGGAGAGTAGACAACACCAATCACTGAAGGATACTAACCAGAGAATAGCAAGGGTGAATTTTGTGCTTAAAAAGGCCTTGCTAGTTGCCGTGTGAGCAAGAGGATTAGTGACAAAATTAGAGGTTGGGAGACCCATTAGAAGGCTGTGCCAGGATCTTGATAAGAGGTGAAGACAATCTGGATGGGTTGGTAGCACTGAAGGGAGGTGACAGTTCACAGAATTAAGGGATATTTGGGACGTGGTGATGGCTGAATGGTGAGAATGAGAAGGCAATCTAAGGTCATTCGTGGGCTTCTAAACTGAGCAAATGAACTCCAGGAAGCCTTAGGAATGAGTATCCTAAGACTAGGAGAGAAAACCCTGCTAGGTTTTTGAGCATGACTTGAAGGAGCTTCTTTTTATCCAGCTCTCCCAGCCCTATGATTGATTCTGTTTTAGAGAAACCCATTTAAAATCCCAATGGAATATAATACAATTATCATTAGAAGCAGCTATGTTAATCCCAGAGGAACCTACTTCCTCCTGCATGTGTGTGGGGAGCAGCAAAGAATTATTGTAGTTGTAGTGGAAATTCAGTAGAACAAAGGAAGGTGATAGGACAAAAATCACAGTTGGGTATGGTGGCACACAGCTGTAATCCCAGCACTTGGGAGGCTAAGGCAGGAGGACTACTGAAAGTTCTAGGCCAGCCATCACTATATAGCAAGACTATCTCAAAAGAAAGATCAAAACAACAACAAATGAAAGAAATTAAAAACATTCTGGGGCCAGGGAGATGGCTCAATGGATAACATGCTTTCAGCACAAGCATGAGGACCTGAGTTCAGATCCCCAGAACCCATGTAATGCCAAATTCAGTTGCATGTGTCTGTAATCCCAACACTTCAACACTTGGGAGGCAGTCACAGGAGACTCCCCAGAAGTGGGCAGCTAGCCTGGTGTACACAGGAGTGGACAAGAGACCCTGCTTCAAACAAAGTGGAAGGCAAGTATTAACACCCAAAGTTGTCTTCTGACCTTCACATGTACATTGTAGCATGCACGTGTGCACACTCACGCATGAGAACACGCCCACACACACCAACCCCCTCCCCCAAATTACCTTGGCTTCAATCTTCAATAAACATTGACCTTTATTCCTTTATTGAAGATGGACTCTGGACCCAGTCCTGCTCAGGGCTCCGGTGTCTGCCTTATGCAGATACTCACCAGTGACTTGGAGGGTCTCTTTCAGTACCATATTATAGTATACCCGGCCCTTGGGGTTACACATCAGTCCTGGGTGTATCTGGTGATCTAAGTCAGTCCCTGGGGCCTGGCCACCTCCGTACTTCTACAAAACGGAGGTTTTGGACTTCAAAGCTGGTGAGCAGGTCTTTGGAAGTGGAAATGAACCCACTGGAAATGCCTGGCAGAACTCTCAGAGCATTTGCTCTGGAAAGGATCATCTGAGGCCAGGAAGAAGCCAGAGATGGTGTCTCTGGAAATTCCAGAACATTCTCTGAATCTAAGCTGGGAAATTGGGCTCAATAATGGTTCAAGGTGGTCTGAGGTAAGGGAATGAGTCCACATACCTAAAAATCTAAATTGAATCATTCCATGCTTGCTCTCTCTGGAGCGCACTGGGTACCTGGCTACTCAACAAAGTTAGGAGCTTGGTCATCATTGAATCATCCAAACAAACTTTCAGCGTTTGATTTAACCGATCTGTACTTTCCAAATCGCCGTCCAGATGTAACAGAACAGTAACTCCACTCTACCATAAAAAAAGACCCAAATTCCAAAGAATGTGAATTTTCTTTAAAATTAGCCACTGTGTTTAAGACTATAAAATATTCCATCAGCTGGTAAGATCATTCCTGTCAAGTTTCCAAAGTCGGTAGATGAATTTCCACTGCACTTCCTTTTTGTTGTGACGTCAGATCGCTGTTCCAGAACTCCTCCAGAGCACTCCTAAAGCTCTTAAGAGAAAGTGATTTGCCAGTGTCCCTGAGTATTAGTGCACCAGGGCGTGGGGGAGACTCCCCTAGCTTAAAGATGATTTAGCCCTAACACTGAGGTCCCGGGACAGCCCCCGCGGCGCGGAGTAGCCGCCAGTCTAGGACCTTTGTTGTGACGTCAGATCGCTGTTCCAGAACTCCTCCAGAGCACTCCTAAAGCTCTTAAGAGAAAGTGATTTGCCAGTGTCCCTGAGTATTAGTGCACCAGGGCGTGGGGGAGACTCCCCTAGCTTAAAGATGATTTAGCCCTAACACGGAGGTCCCGGGACAGCCCCCGCGGCGCGGAGTAGCCGCCAGTCTAGGACCCAAACTCGCCGGGGCGCACCGGGCCGCTGCGAGCCCGTCGGTCGCTGGGCGCAGTCCACCCTGGGGCGCGCACAGGACAGCTGCGGGGAGGGACAGCCGGGAAGGACGTAGTGGGGGGAGGCTCGGGTGACAAGTCCCCGCCTCCTACCCCTCCCCGGGTCCCGCCCTGCGGCGGCGCTCAGCGATTATAGGCGATGACTCAGGGCGGAGCTCCGCATCCAACCCCAGGCGGCCGCCAAGTTCTCTGGATGGGACCAGAAGTTTCTAGCCGGCCAGTTGCTGCCTTCCCTTTATCTCCTCCTTCCCCTTTGGCAGCAGGGAGGCTATTTCCAGACACTTCCAGCCCTCTCCGGCCACGTCACCCCCTCCTTTAATTCATAAAGGTGCCCAGCGCCGGCTTCCAGGACACGTCGGCGGCCGCAGGGCTCTAGGACAGCGGCCCGCACTCGGCGACCCCGCGCCCCCGCCGCTCCGGGCGGACCCCGACCCAGCATGAGCGCCGCCACCCACTCGCCCGTGGTGCAGATGGCGACCGGCAACAGCGCGGGCGACCGCGACCCGCTGCCCCCGGGCTGGGAGATCAAGATCGACCCACAGACCGGCTGGCCCTTCTTCGTGGACCACAACAGCCGCACCACGACGTGGAACGACCCGCGCGTGTCCCTCGAGGGCCCCAAGGTGAGTCGGGTCCCACCTCGACGGTGAAGGTGGCCGGGCTGGGCCCGGGGACGCGCGGGTTTCGTGACCGCCACCCCGACGCACGGGCCCGGGCGCCGCCTGCCCCTGCAGCGCCCGCTGCGCCCTCTCGAGACCCGCCCGGGACGGTGGCGTGGAGGGCGGCCCGCGAGGTGCGCCCACGCGGTGACTTCGGGTCCACTTCCCTGGGCGAAGGGCGGGTGGCTGGTGCGCAGGTCCCGGGGAGGGGCGGGCGGCCGCCTGATGGGCCGCCCAGGCCCTGGCCAGGCCCGGCAGGCCTCTCTGGACCCCCTCCCGCCTCTCATCCCGGGATCTTTGCTCCGCCCGGCACGCTAGGCCACAGGGTGTGTGTGGCGGGGGCGGGGGGGGCGTCTTTGGAGAATTTCACCTTCAAGTTTCAGAACTTTGTTGAGGGTTATCGTATCTTGACTGCTGTCTCTCAGGCATAGAGTGACTCAGGAGGCTGGTATAGATACATTATTTTCCCCTTGTATTTAAAAATAAAATTGTATTCTAGGTTGAAACTTGCTTTCGTGAAGGTATTCTAATGTGACTACTCGTTTCTGGTTTTTGTTTTTGAAAAAGAACACTCTTTGCCCCGTTAGTTTCAAAACTAGAGACCAGAGATTGCCTTGAGACATTGCCTCAAGAGAGAAAAGATAAATATATTTTTATGGCATGATTCTCTTCTGTATTATGATGTTAAATACTAGGAGCTGTTTCCAGACATGTAACTGGGGAATGGTAACTTGCACAAACAGTAGGTATATGCCTCTTTTACATATATGGAGAGATACCTTCCTCACACTCAAGAGCAAGAAAATTTAAAAATACAGGTTTGGAATGAAGTCTGACATGGTGGTGCAGGCCTGTCATCCCAGCACTCAAGAGGCTGAGGCAGGAGGCCCTTGAGTTCAAGGACAGCATGGGATACATAGGAAGACCCTGGCTTTAAAAAGTCATTAATTAATTAATTAATTAAATTTGGAATGATCCCAGCCTGGGCTAAGTAGTAAGACCCTGTCTCAAAAAATTTAATTAATTAAATTTCAAGCGAAGAGCTTAAAATAGAAATTAAAGATATAGTTAGCATATTAATTATTAATTTCTATAAGTTTGAGCTTTTCAAAATGAAAAGTTTGGTAAGATAAGTACACTTAGAGAAAGGCTAACTTCTTGCTATCTGGTAAAAATAAAAATAAAAGCAGTAAAGTATTGATCAATTATTTTGAAGATTTTAAAAACTCACCAAATTAAAAATGCTGTATAAACCATTGTTTTAGAAAATTCCACCTTTTTTTTTTTTTTTTTTTTTTCGGTTTTTTTGAGACAGGGTCTCCCTGTAGCCCAAGCTGTCCTGGAACTCACTATGTAGACCAGGCTAGCCTTGAACTCACAGAGATCCCCGCCTCCCTCTGCCTCCTGAGTGCTGGGATTAAAGGTGTGCGCCACCACACCCGGCAATGAGAATACCACCCACATTTGTTTTTATATGTATGGTGCTGGGATTGAATGAATCCAGGGCCTTGAGAATACCAGGCACATGCTCCATCACTGAGCCACCCCGTAACCTACACTTATTTTCCTTAAAAAAATAAGTCTATATGCTGGGCGTGGTGTCACACGCCTTTAATCCCAGCACTTGGGAGGCAGAGGCAGGCAGATCTTTGTGAGTTCAAGGTCAGCCTGGTCTTCATAGTGAGTTCCAGGACAGCTGGGGCTACAAGGAGACCCTGTCTCAAAAAGACAAAAAACAAAAAAAAAAAAACAAAAAAAACTAAAACTAGTATCCACCAGTGAGATATTAGACATTCAGCAGTTTACATTTACAAGAAATTAATTGTATCTTTATTCCTGGAAGTTAGTGCAAGAGGCTGTGATTTGGGATGGGCATAATCACGTCTTTTTCTGTGTCTGTTCCATGCATTACTGGGCAAAACTTACTCTTGTTTCAAACTAACCTTCAGACTGCATGGGACATAGAAAATCACCGGGGTGGTGTGCAGCAGTGTTTTGAGGCCTCGTTGTAGCTACAGAGACGGTCAGAATCTGCTGGCACCCTTTGAGAGTGAAGATTAATTGTTGGCACTTT